GTGGGATGCCCCACACCTGCAGCGCCTGGTAGTGGACAGGCCAGGCTCTGGGAGAACAGCAGCCCCAACATCTGACCTGGGCTCCTCCCAAGTGAGCAATTCCTCCACAGAGCTCGATGGGCTCCTGTGAGGGTCTTTGCAGGCACAGCAGGCACCATGCCCGAGAAAGACCACTGCAGCCCACTGTGTGCTGCCAGTCTCTCAATGGCCAGAAGTGCCATACCTACAGGAGGATACAGACTGACAGTGCCTACCTGGTCCCAAGGGAAGCAGCTAAGAAAGAGAACCAAAGGCTATATTCTCAAGCCAGGCAAAGGATTTTGTCCTCCCAACCCACAGATGCAGTTCAGGAATGGGATTACTGAGTCAAACTTCAACATCTTCCTGACTTTCTGCTAACTCACTTCCTGACGAATTTTCCCATGTTCTACTGCAGTAACTACTGAGGTGGTTCACAGGGATTAAATGACAGAGATGATGATTTTACTGAAGTGGAAGAAAAACTGAATAAAGAAGACACTCTTAAGGAGGAAGCCTTAGTGTAATGATGTGAACTTTCCTCTATTCAAAGATTCTACTAGCTGAGCACCGTGGCAGAGGCCAGTCTACCAAGCATTATGGGAAGCTGAGGCAGACAGGTTGAAAAGTGAAAAGCTCAAGGCCAAGCTGGGGGTGGCAGTAAACCTGTAATCCCAGCACTTAGGAGTCTTGAAACAGGTAGATCAGTTTAGGTCAGCCTGTGTTACACAGTAAATTCAAAGTCAGCCTGAACTACATACTGAGACCCTCTGTGAGAAACAACCAACTAAAAAAGAGAAGTTCAAGGCCAGCCTGGAAAAGGAGTGGGAGTGGTGCTGGGAGTCCAGGTCAGTGGCTGGCTGAGTGTTCACCTAGCATATAAGAGGTAGAGTTCAATCCCTACTTTTGGGAGAAAAAAAGAAAAATCCATGGTGCGTTTTTTGTTTTGAGACAGAATCCTCCTATGTAGCCAAAGTTGGTCTTGGTCTATTGGCAATCCTCCTGCTTAGTTCTCCAGATTATTGCTTGTAAATTAAAGGTTTTTTTTTTAAATTTAATGAACTCTTAATTGTACTCAAAAAGACAAATATATAGTAAGCTCCTTCTCTTTTTCCCCCACCAAAAATAGTAATGGCAAGGGATTTGCCCTGACTATCTTAGAAAGTAT